TGTTCTTTGTTTGTTTTTTTTTGTTTTTCAGATCTGAGAAAAAGGGAATTGTAGCTGGGGATATCTTTAGCGGCATTTCATGAGGGGTGCATTATTTCCCATTAGAATTAGTCTGTCATTTTGCTGAAGATACCTCTTATGCAAACTATTATTTAGTAGCATGCAGGATGTATTCCAGAGTTATAAAGCTGTACAGTATGTGAAAGGTTATGTAGGCTCTGTCCATACAAGAGAAAGCCCAGTCTGAGATTGGTACCCTACTTGCTTGTCCATATGATGCTGTGGGACTTCCAACTGCCTTGCAAAGCTGAGCTGATTAACTCTGCTGTTGATCTGTTTGGCTCCTATGCTGAACTGCAAAGACTGATTTCTTCTGGAATTCAGAGCAGGGCAACCTGCAACTGGCATGACCTTCATGTCTTAGGGCCTGGTTATCTAAAGGAGCATCTGGCTATTGTAGTTCCTGTCTGGGCTGTATAACTGGGCAAAGTTGGCATGTTCCATTAAGCAATATCACCTGATGGGATGCAGGAAAAATGCCTTCTCTGTCACAGAACCTGCCTTCTGGTACATCATCCCCCTGAGATTCATCTGGCCCCCACCATGGACATATTTTAAAAAGTCCTGAAAACCTGGCTGTTCCCCCAGCCCTTGGGCTAGAATGAGTGGGGATCCTATGCATGTTATTGTTTTAGAATTGTTTTTCCTTCCAGATGCTTGGATTTTTAAACTATATTTTAGAACTGATTTAATTGCACACAGCCTACAGTCGTTATACATTTGGGCAGCAAATAAAATTAAAAAATAAATATGTGCTGCCTTGTCCCATCTACCTCCAAGATTGCCGCCTCTTCAGAAGTCAAAGTGCCACAAGGACATGCCTTGTTCCTGTAGCTTTTCTAGCTGAAAGGAGGAGAGGCTTTGCTGCCACCCTGACACGGCCAGCTGAAGAGTGGTGTACTCATGGGCGCAAGAAAGGAAAAGTGGGATAGTTGCTGGGCATTGTACAATCATGCAGAAGTTATTGTTATGGCTTGGAAATGAAATGTGCAGCCACGTGGAAGGGGGGCTTAATTCTCACTAAGAAAAATATCCTATCTTGCAAAAGAAGTTGCACACTGTTTTTTCTGTAATTCATTGCTTTTGGTTGTTTGTTGGATACTTATTCTTTAGCTGACATTGTTTCACTGAAATAAAAATTAATCAGTTTATTTCAGTTAAATAATAGGAATTTGAAGTTACTTTGGCACTGGCATTTATATCTGGAAGCATTTCAAAAATGTCAGCTTTTAAAGGTCTAATCAAGCTGTGGAATCAAGAAGGCTATCGTAGTCCGGTATCTTCAGCCAGCAGCCATGGGAGTGATGGGCCGGGGTGGGTTGGAGAAAATAATGAGACACCTGGAGAGGTGGTGATGGCACTAACTTTGATGACAGCCCATCAGACTATTACAAAAGGGACTTAGGCCAGCAGCAGCTCTATGAACCCTTGATCTTGAGTAGGGATGGATGAATAAACCAATTTCAGTTCCGCTTAGTTTTGCATTTTTTCTCAACTTAAACCTGTTCTGAATCAATTTCTGTACTGCATTATGAATTATAACTATTAATTATAAGCACATATATAGGAATCCCTGCACATTCCCTTTACTGTATGATTTTGTATGTACTCTTCCTAATTAAGTATTATTTGCAAGCACTTTTTGCAGTAATATATAATTGGCCATACTTTACTACAAGATATACATGTTGTATACATATTTGTTGAATATTTACCCATACTCCCACCCACACATATATAGGTTTGCATTTCAGAATTATACTGCAAAATTCCAGAAAGTGAAATTTTTGATGTGTGGTTCTAATTTCAATGTAAGCTTAAAATACGTTAACAAGATATATTTTAAAAGAATGGAATGGAATAAATTTTCACTGTCCATTAATTCGCCTTGGCTCACTGCTGATGGTGACTCAAAGAATACTTGCACTAAATTTGCACATGCTAATTGTATGTATAAATGCAAATTTAGACATAATTACAGTGCAATCTTTTATACATCTCTTCTAAAATAAGCCCCATTAAATTTAATTGGGCTTGTTCCTGGATGAATGGCTATAGAATTGCAACCTTTCATAATTATGAAATGCTTTTCAACAAAACAGTAAATTGTCAGAATGATGTATGAGCCCTGATGAGCAACTTCAAGCCCCTGATGGCCTGTCCTGGACTTGCCTCGCCTCGCCTCGCCTCTCCTTTCCTTTTTTATTCTTTAAACCTCACTTGGACGCCATGTTATTTAAATACATTTATTCTCTGTTTAGGCTGTATGATGACTGTATACCACCCTGATGTTCTGAGATATTTGAAAGAAAGGCAGAAGACAAATGTACTACTAATAATAATTTTAAAAAACTAAAGATAGGGCAAGAAAATATTAAAGCAACCAGTGAGCAGTAACAGTCAAGCAATCAGCCAAGAAGCTATTATAATCAGGAAGACATTTGGAAAAGTTAATGAAATTGGCAGCCAGAGCATGATATGTTAGTCTGGAAGGCAGATTCTTACTGTCGAACAAAGAATCGAAGGAATAATGACTATTGGTTCTTCCCTCCCACAGTACTAAATATGTGATTCCAAATGAGCTGATCTTATTGGCAACAAGCTTTGGTGAGGAGCTTAATAGAGTGCCATGTTTTGTTACTGACCTCAAACACAAGGTTGATCAAATATGAGTATAATATCAGTCAAATGGCGCAAAAGAGACAAGCATCAATAATCAAGGAAGAGATAATGGAAAGATGACGAATGATTCACAACAAGTATTCTATTTTTGTTTCACTCTGAACAGCCTGTGCTAATGGTTTTGCTTTATTGAAACAGCTGTATTTAATCCTCCATTTATCTCATTCTGTTATATTCTGCTGGCTAAAGTTCTAATTTCCCAAACCCTAAATTAGATTCTCTTGCTCCACTTTGTGACTTTACTAAAATAATGAGAAAAGTATAGGTGTAATACCATATATTCCTAGATTATTTGTAAGATGTAGTCTTGGGGGCTAGGAAATCAAGGACCTGTAAGTTTCCATGCTATTCTTCAACTATTATTTTGTTTTCAGATAGGCTTACTAAGTTCTGATATGGTAGCATGTTTACCTACAGTTTCTTTTGTATAGACAAGAAATACATTTTCTCATAATAAGAAACAGGTCCACTACTTTTCCATGTCAGGATATATATATTTTTTACTGCATACAAACATAATATATACCCTTCACTCTTTTCCCTTTGATGTAAGCAGTAAGTATGAATCTCTCTTTCTGAGGTTCTCATCAACTACATTCAACCATAATTTTCTCAGTCTGCTCCTTCTTCTCAATCCATTCACTTTTCCTTCAAATATTTGTTTTATAAGTCAATCTTCAGACATTTTCTCTATATGATGAAAACACTTCAAAGTACTTCTTTCATGTTGCTCACTCATTTTTGTCTTCAGTCCACATTCATTAGTCACCCATTGATTCTTGATCCTATCTCTCATTGTTTTATCACACATATACTTCTTAAGTAGCCTATTCTTAATGCATTCAACTTTTATGTTTTTCTTGACATATCCAGCTCTCATATTCATATTACAAATGGGCAGAAGCACCCTTTTATACATAAACATTTTTACTCTTTTCAATAAACATCAGTTCCTTGCAACAGTTCACACACCACCAACTATCTTTTTCTGGGTGTAGCTTTATGTAACAGAATATGAATTCAAAGAATAATAAAAGTAATAGAGCAATTCACAGAAGAATAGTTGGAGACTGGTGCTTATTTTTTTTAAAAAGAAAAATTCTATTAAGTAATTATATTTAGCTGAAAGGCCTAAATACTTCTTCTAACTGTATTTTAAGTGAAGCAATGAAAGGCTACATAATCTGCTAGACTACATGGAGCCTCTCATGGTATTACTCCATTACCAGTGGTGGGGAAGACTGAGACAAAGAGAGAGAGAGATGGAGAGAGACTGATGGTGGGAACAAGGAGCAGGACGTGTCTTAAAATTACTCAGTCTATTTTCCGATTTTCAGTCAATCATTCTGGCAAAGTACACAAATTCATCTGCTTTTTTTTTTTTTGGCCATTTATCTTTTTTTTTTTTTTTTTGCAATTGTTCTATCCATTTCCCCTGTTGGACATAATGACCTTATTCTTTGACATTTTCAGATCCATACTCCTTGTTCCATTATGCAATCTATTTTAATTGAAACTTTTGAATAATAGAAAATCATATAATCAGGTTACCAGAGCTGGTGGAAAAAGGAAAATGAGTGAGAGAACAGGAAACAAAGTATGAAAAGATAAAGGAGGTTGATGAAGCCTTTAAACATAATGGAGAAAGAGGTAAATTTATTTTAAATTCAGTATTATTTAATACTTCAAAATAGTAGAGCTGCAATACTTCTTCCTCGAGAAAGGAGGAACATATAACTGGTTGTTGTGGCACATTTATTCTCACTCCCAATAAAAGGGGAGGGAGAAGACTAAAAATCGTAACCCACATGTATGGGTTTTCTTCTTGCTGAGTATAGATTCAGGCAAGCAGGCAATGAGTCCCCAACCCAACAGTCTCAAAGGGCAAGCTACTTGTCATGGGGCAAAGTTTTGGGGGCACAAAGTGGAAGTTGGAGGAGGTTCATAGTGTATTCTGGTTTACTTGATTTCCAGTCTCTTACATTCCTAGCTGTTTGTTTTGCAAGCTAGAAGTGTAAGGGATAAGAAATGGGGAAAGAATTATACTCACATCACTTGGCACTATGCAAGTCTCTAAGAAATTTGCAAATGTTTCAAAGCCTTGTGGTCAGTTCAGATCTTGATAGGGTGTTCTGCCCCTTCAAGAAGACAATGCCATGAGCTGAAAGGCTTCCTTGATGGCCAAAAGTTCTTTGTTTAAAAAGGAGAAGTTGCTGGAAATGAATGCAAATGAGAAGAGTTGCCTTCAAACTCTGGAGTGGATTCCAAAAGTACTGCTTACAAGGCAAAATCAGGACCATCAGGAAGGGGCATATGGGATCTGAATAATGAGCAATGGCTGAGCAGTGAATGCTTGTTTGAACTGAAGGAAGGCTTGTTGAGTGTCAGAATCTCCTTGGTAAGAAGAGCCATTGGCATTATTAGTGCACCAAGATTAGGAATAAATTTATGATAAAAACTGGAAAAGCTCAGAAAACTCTGCATGTCCTGATTGTACCAGGACTAGCAAAATAGGAAAAAGCTTCTGCTGTGGGGTGCAGAGTGGTGGGAATTTGGAGCCTGTGAATCCCCCATGCCAGAGGTTCAAAGATTGTGTTACCAAATAATCCATAATATGCATCATTAGTCTGAAGCCAATCCATTACCAAATATTTTGGAAAATGGAGGCTAAATAAAATTGCAGGGACTCTTCATTATTACAGAGGGTGATTGGTAGAGATTCAGTGTCTCATTCCTAACAGGGAGTTGGATAAGCTAAATGGGTAGAGTATATTTACATGCAATGAATGTTCCAGTAAAATTGCCTGTGGCAGCAGAGTCTACTAGGGCTTGCATGTGTATTTCTGCATTTGTAAATTAAGAGGAATGACTTAATGTCAATGTGTAGCTCCACATGTCTGGACTTCACTTAATTTCTGGGTGCTCTGAACTCCTGCAGGCTGGGATTGACTCATTTCCCAACAGGCCAGGTTTGTAGCATTTAGGGTATCTGCTTAAAAAATTCCCCTTTTCCCCAAAGTATGACATGTAGTTAATGCTTCAGAATAGGGCATTGTAATAGGGCAGTCACATACAAAATGGCCAGGTTATCCATAATATGAACATAAGTCTTATATACATCAGTGCAACTTTGAGTCTCAGTTGCATGGTTGAGGGGAAGAAGGAAAGAGAATAATGGTATTTACCCTTCTTGCCCGTACACTATTACAGGTTGAATCATCTATCAGTAGCCAAGCAGACCTAGATTAATGCAAATAAAGTCTCTGGGATACCCTGTCTAATGAGTGTATCTTGTATTAAGTCTCTCTTTAAACTGGTCAGTCATCCTCTTTCATTCCAACCAACATCACAGCTAACAGTTGAAAACTAGCAGTATAGTCCTATCCTATGGTTAACCAGTCAGGGGTGACAATTTTGCAGCTGGCAGTCATTTGTGTGATCATCAAAGTTAGACCTCAGACATGCCATAAAATTGGGGTAGTTGTGCAAGCCTGGGCTGTTCTGCATCTGAAAGGGGCTGCCCATTTTCCAGCTTGTCCTGTCATTAGGCCTATTATAAATCCTATTGGGCACCAGTCTGTGGACAAATTTTCAGGACTTAGGAAAATGTGTAATTCACATCAAGTGAAAAAGATACTAAATTTGTTTGGATACCCATTGTATTTACTAGACAAGTAGATAAGTATTTGGTGGCTGTGGTTGCTGTGGCTACTCCAACTACAGCTGCCAGATCTTGGGCTGGGATTGATATAGGAACTGCAGGTTATAGTTGATTCTATCTCACATGCTGGGCTAACTGGTTCATTATCTGAGCTAATTGGTCTATTGGGATCACAACTTAGATTTGATCCTGGAGCAAGGCATTATCAATTGGATCAATGGTCAACAGAGTTAAAAGAGGATCTTTAGCTATATTTAACTATATTGTTGAAGTGCAGATTCTCCTCCCATAGTGTTGTAGGTATGAATAGGCTGATTTTGCTGACATGCTTCAGTCCAAGCACAGTAATAATTCCTGACTCTCCAAGAACATTGGGGTCAATGAGTGAGTAAGGAAAATTCTAGGCATTTTCCTCCCATAAGCCAATGGAAATTTGACCATTGTCTCTCTAGCTTTGAGATTGCTGTTCAAAGTTTACCACCACTTCTGTGTAACCTGAGATCCCACTTCACCAACTTTAGCCCTTTTAGTAAATGGTGTTGGAAAATAATGTTTAAGAAAGCAATTTCAACAGATCCAGTGAGAATTTAGAGTGCAGCTGATAAACTATCCTTGAATCCTTACGGTATGTTTAGAATTCAGTGGTTATTATATAAAATCTGTAAAATATATTTTATATAATACATATATATTTATATATATTATATAAAATTTGTAATATATATATATATACACACACACACTGTGCTCCATCATTTGGCCTTTAACAGCTTTAACAGACAAAAGGTTTTACTTCTGCAAAATAGAAACTTGCTGTATCATGTCTAAAATGGCAAGTGTTTCAGAATCCTTTGGAGACCGATAGACTGATGAATGTGAGCAATCTTTCCATAGCATTATTTATTATTTAGCTCATACTCCTGTTTATTGTTTTTGCTAACAATACAAAATATATTTACCATAGTAATGACATCCAGTTGAGAACTATGGCAAGTTAAATGTCCCTTTTTGTAGCGGGATGGCATTATGATGGAGACTGGCAAGGGATGCAGGATCCTGCCCACCAAAATGCTTTCCAGATTAAAGAGAGATCTTTGAGATAGCCCACATGACTCTGCACAGCTGCCCCTCATGAGTAAACCACAGGAATAGTTGTTTTGTGGTTTGCCTATGGATTGAGCAGCTGGGAGTCAAGGGAAGAACCATCTTCACTTACAGTAGTTAATGCAGCCTTTTTAAAGGACATTAAGCTCAACCCAGCCTCCCTTCTTAATCACTTTGGATTTTTTTTCCTGCTGCTTTAAAAGGATTAAGACCCTTCAGAACAGCAAGTTATATTGTACTGGCTAGGTGAGTTGTGTTCTTCTTAGAAGAGCTTTTAAATATGATTTTTATAACCTTTTGAAAAATATTACTTTTTGGATTAAACAGCAAAGGAGTGATCAGAATATGGACTTTATAAAATTTAACAACAGATTAAGGGCTCAGATGGACTTGGAATTGTAATTTTAAATGCCCCAAAGAGCTCTGAATTAGCAAGAAGAAAGTTTCTCATGGGAAGAATCACTTTTTTTCCCCCATGTTTTTCATGATAAGGAGACTTTGAAGGTTGGACACTAGAGGGAGCTAGAGGATAAGGAAAACGGAGCAGAAATCTATAATACAAACTTGGGAATATTTGTCTGCCAAGCTTCTTGACAAAATAGATGAATTTCTTGACAAGATTGACAGAGCATGTTGTAATTATAGAACAAGAACAAGTTGCAATGGATGATTTTGAAATTACTTTGAAGAGAGCAGAAATCTATAATACAAACTTGGGAATATTTGTCTGCCAAGCTTCTTGACAAAATAGATGAATTTCTTGACAAGATTGACAGAGCATGTTGTAATTATAGAACAAGAACAAGTTGCAATGGATGATTTTGAAATTACTTTGAAGAGAGATTTAAATGTAACAAGTAATGAGAAAGGTATGGAGAAAGATATGGGGACACAAATGGAACTGATGGATGACTTATTCCCAAAAGGAGATATACAAATATTGAAACAGGAAACTGACTTGGATA